CTGAAGGCCGCGCTTGAGTTCTGTGTTGTCTGCGTTCTCTTTCTGCAGCCATGCCTCGTAGTTTCCTCTGGATTTCATTCATTCATTATGCCAGTCTGAAGTGCTACTCAAATGGGGGCTCGGCTCGAGTTAAGCTAATCGGAATCGCAGATGAACCAATCACACGTGTCCACACATGCTGGGGTTTGTTGTTTCTTCAGCAGCGCCGCTTCGGTCTCAACCAACAGGATCCATCTCCAAAATTAGTTATTACCCCACTGAGATGAGCAATAAATCATTTGTCTGTTACATTTCAATTCATTTTCAGTTTGAACAGTTGCTCCTGCCTGGAGTTGAAGACCTCCATTAGGCTGACAGTTGAAGGGTTAAGGGTGACAGCCAATCACTGTGATTGTCTTTTATTTGAGGAGGCACAAATGAACAGCTGGGCCAGTCCGGCCGAGCGCCTTTTGACTGACAGTGATTACAACCTGTCAGAGAGCAGATCTTCCACCTGTCCTCACCTACCGAGATGCGCCCATGTGTAAAAACATCTCATCCGCCTCATATTCAAATTGCATTCATGAGTGGCTACTGACGTGTAATCTGCTGATATAATTTAACACTGGACTCGACGTAATATACCTTCTCCCGGTTCACAGTAAAGGATGGTTAGCTGTGTGAATCTAAATGGAGACGTTGTAAATATTGGCGTGTTTACTCCCACATTACTTCAGCTGTATTTGAGAATATGATTACAGTGATGGTTTGCATCTCTGTAATCTGTAAATGTGAGCAATTTCAGTTCCAGCCTATAGTCATCGGATCATTATTGTAAGTTACTCCTATTAATTATGTTTTTCTTGTTTGATAAGAGATGGATTGTACATATACATTGTACAGTAGTTTTGTAAGTGGATAGTAGTCTTATTTTGAAGTAGCATTTGTTGATTGTCCTCATAAAGATTCTGTTTCATTAAAGAATAAAGTATATATTTGCTTATAGGAAGTTTTTCAGAGTGCACTCTATTGGCTTGTTAGAGGAATGAGTTTTAAGACTTATTTATATGGTAGTTTGTCTTGAAAAAAGAGAAAGAGAGCTCTAAGTATTTAGATCTATTATAACCTAACCGAGATCAAATTTAGAAATGTTTTCAAAATCAGAGTGTATTATTCAGTCTTCCAAAATAATTTGCATGAAAAAATATATTATTATTATTATTATTATTATTATTATTATTATTATTCATATTATTATTAAGAAGAAGAATTGTGGTATGTATATATGTATGCATGTATGTACACTCTAAAAAATGCTGGGTTGTTTTAACCCAACTTTGGGTCAAATATGGACTAACCCAACTTTTGGGTTAAAAAATTGAATGTAAAAATTTAACCCAACGGTTGGGTTAGTCCATATTTGACCCAATGTTGGGTTGAAACAACCCAGCATTTTTTAGAGTGTATGTATCAATAAATAAATACATACATACACGTCTTATATATTCTCTACTGATTTATGCATTAAATGAAGTCTCTTATGCTCACCAAGGCTGCATACAGTATATTTGATTAAAACATTTTTATAAATATCTTTACATGTTAATGTGTCCTTGCTGAATAAAAGTATTTTTTTTCTTTAATTCTTAGAGTTTTGAATCATAGTGGTCAAGATTTCTACAAAATTATTAAGCAGCAAAAACTATTTTCAATAGTGATAATAATATAAAATGTGTCTTGAGCAATGTTTCCTGACAATCTTATATACGTGTATAAAATATGTGCTTTTTTATTTGTTTATTTAAAAAAAAAAACAGAAAAATTAATTGGGTAAATTTATGCTAGAAACATTGTGAGGCACAATGTAAAATCAAAGTCATGCTCTCAGTTACAGATAAGCAAATTCTTTCAAATACTGTCCATTTTTCATGTCGTCGCCTCAAAAAATAGATAGAAAAATGTTTATTAAAACATTTGCTGTTCCTTAAAAACGGATTTTTGCTTTAATGGTCAAATGCACTAGCAGTTTATTACAGTCCACTGCATCAGCAGCTTGTCTACAAATTCATCAAACTCAGGTTAAAATGCAACTTGCTGAACATGTCAGAATTAGCTAATAAAACATCGCTGAACCTCCCGTTTGATTTACTGCAGCCATATGAGCTCATCAGTTTATGTAATTCAGCTAAAATAGATTTAAGAGAAATCAAATCAAATAAAGTAAAGGAACAAGGCCCAGAACTCCTAGCAACAGCCCTGAACACTCAGATGTTTGTGTGTATGTATGAAATACAAGTGAGGGATACTCAAAGTATCCATTTGATGTGCTGAAGTCAGTGTTATTACCTTAATTATACAGTTGATTTCTCTCTGCATTTCCCTTTATGTTGTTGTGAAGAAAAGTGAGATGCCATAAATGCTCAGCTGTGTTTGTTGGGTTTCAGCTGCAGCTGCTGTCTCTCCTGGCAACCACAATATGCGGGATCTCTCTCCTCATTGGCTGCTGAATTTATGAGCGATGATGAGTCCAATAATCTCATGGAGGCGCAGACAGACAGGCCACATTTATCCATGTTTATTGAGTTTGTGAGGCTTTAGAATATGGTTATTATTTATCATGTTCTTGCTTTGAGACACAAATCCTCCATGATCTCAGACAGAGAATGCAGCTGCATCTGATTTTGCGATATGTCGTTCTGCCAACAGTTAAAGAGGTATTTTATTTTATTTCATTTTATTTATTTTTTTTGATATACCATTGAACCATTTAGTTTTTTTTTTCATATTTTATAATAGCATGAATTTATGCGGTTGTGTATTTATGTGTCTGTAGTATGTGTGTATATATATATATATATATATATATATATATATATACACACATACTACAGACACATAAATACACAACCTGCTACTCGTCTGTCTGTCTGTACTACATCACTCTCTGTAGTACAATTTTAGTTTGGTCTTGTGGCTACCTTGAAGTAATGTTACACGGTACATTTTTCTCAGTTTGATGGACATCTGCTTTGACAGAGCAAAGGTGACATAGGCATTTTCGTTCATCATGTGCTCTGTCTTCCTTGGAATCCATTAGATTGAGAGATAATTTGATTTCAGTTCATACCATCAATCATATCGAGATACGCTTGGATGAAATATGAATATCTACCCCCAACCCCCCCATTTAAATAAGATAAAAGTGATATTAGAGGTTAATATGCGCAGATCCTGAAATTGCTGCAGAAAGTCAAAAGACGTAGCATCTCCCCTACTGTGAAATAGAAAGCATTCATTATATAAACATAAAGCCATAAGATTAATGGCATCATTTGATGGATGAAGTTTAAGCATAATTCTTACTTTCGAACATGCTGAATATGTGTCCATCGAGGCATGTAGGCCTTCTAATGTTTTGCAAAGGATCTTGGGATACGAGATGTGAAACATTTAAAAGAGTTTCTTTTTTCTTTCTCCATAAACTGCAGAAATTCATAAATGCTTCAACAAAATGAGCGGATTAGTGACATGGGCTTCATAAGCGACATGCCCCCTGCGTATCATTTATTCACATTGAACTTCACCAGAAAACATGAATCTCATTAATCAAGCAAGAAATAGTCACTGCACATTGATCCCTTTTTCATCCATTATGCAAAAGATCTCATATTGTTTTTTTGTTTTGTTTTTTTGTTTGTTGTTGTAGTTGATGCTCAGAGAGAGTATATGCAAACACAAGCAGTACAGGTTCTGCCTGTGGTCATATCGGTATATGACCACAGGCAGAACCTGTACTGCTTGTGTTTGCATATACTCTATTGATTTCCACAGTTAATCTACTATATAAAATTAATGTAAGATACGTAATGTCCTTGCTGTCATTTATACATAGAAAAACAATGAATAGTATGAATGAATTTTTTTTCCCTAGCTTTAATTAATTCTTACTCATTTTTTTTCCAGTGAGAAATTAAAGGCTGAAACATCTGCAATATGCAACAGTCTAACTAAAATTATTATCATCAAAGTGAGGTTTCTCATACATTTTAGCGCTAATGTTATCAAGCCTCTATTTAACTTCCTGTGCTTTTAGGTTTGTCTCAGTAGTCCATCCACAATTAACCACAATTAGTATTTTCTTTGCACTAGTCTTCTCTGAAACCCATTAGACTACAATTTTCATGAAATTAATGTGTTACTTGGAGCACCTTTAATGTGCAGGTCAAGGTTTATTCTAATAGAATGCATTGTAGTTTAATGTTCAGTGATGAAGAAACCAGAACGAAAAATGCATTGGATTACAGTGTTTCCCCTGCCATTAAATCAAATTTGTTTAATTTTCATTACTTAAAAGATAGATTAAATGAATGTTTTATGCCTTAAAACAAAATGTAAATATACAATACAGAATTTCTGAGCAGAAAAATCATAAGGCTATTGTAAGAATAAATTATTGTTTTTATATTATTGTAAAACTTGTTTTATGCTTTCAAATGATTAGACATGCTAAAACAGAATTTGGTTACAATAAAACATAAGGTTGTAAAAATAAAAACATTTCATAGGGCCCTAAACATGTAATATTTGTTAAACTTTTAATAAATTGATGTTAAATTGTTTAAGTTTCATGATTTTAATTAATTAGACATGCGGTTTGATTAATAAAATGTAATTTAACCATTAAAAAGGAGTCCAGAAAAAAAAGGGAAAAAAAACGGAACACCCCCCCAAAGCCATAAACCTAGGGGAAACACTGGATTAGAACAATGCTGAGTATTTACACTGGTTCATCACTAATCTTGATGGTTTGTATCAGGGTAAGTAAGAACTTACAAACTCACATGCTATAGACAAACACAGACCCTTGCTGTACCCCGTGTCTCTGTCCGTATCTCCGACTGCCTGTTTCCTGTTTGTTTCTGTCCCTCACTTCTATGTCCTTCTCTTTCCTGTCCTTCCTCCACTTCTGTACTGTCTTATTCTGTTCTCACCTCTGCGTCTCCCTGTGGTTGTGTTTGCAGTGGAGGGGCAGTGGTTGGACTGGGCGGCCTGGTCTCAGTGCTCTGTTTCCTGCGACTCTGGAACTCAGCAGAGGCAGCGGCGTTGCAGTGTGTCGGTTCATGGCTGGGCGGAGTGTAAGGGGCCGCATGCTGAAACTCGTGAGTGCACCAACCCGTCTTGTGGGGGTAAGTTACTCTCTGGTGGGCTTACAGTCTTAAATTGACAGGTAGTTTATGTGCACAGCTGCAATTTGTTTGCTGTCATGGTCTAATTAATTGCAGCTAACACTCTGAATTGTCTATGGTACCAAACCGCAGAGATTTACCGGTCTGCACCGCTCAACTTGTTCCACAGATATGCTGCTGTGTCAGCATATGCCAGTAAGCACCCCTGATAATAATTAATAAGCGCAAATTAGCTTCATGCAGGTGCTTTATGACCACATTCACACTGCAGCTAAATATTGTTGTCACTTCACTTTTAAGTGCTTTACAGTTAGTTCCGGGCCTCAAATCTGATTGGCTGAACAATGTTATAAATACTGTTATTTTAGAATCACTGATGTATTATTATTGTATTTGTTGGTATTTTAAGTTAGGTATTATTTTTATATTTTCTGTTTGCATTTCATTTCATGCATTTAATTTTTGCTAAACTTTTAGTCATTTTGTTGTGGGTTTTTGTTATTATTTTTGTTTTTGTATTTAATTAAATTACATTTTTTTTTTTTTTAGATTTTTTATTTTAGTTTTAGTTAACGATTAATAACCCTGTTTCCAAAAGTGCTGATATACAGTCTAACAGCACTGGGGCATTTAACGTTTGTTTTTACTGTGTTCCAGTCAAGAGTATTACAGCTGCATTGTGTAGATGGTCAATGATTGTAATTATATCTTTTGGTTCTTGTTTTTTTGTTCCTGTGCAGGTGGAGGGAACTGGGGTGCTTGGAATCACTGGAGCTTGTGCTCCAAGACCTGTGACTCGGGTTGGCAGCGGCGGTTCCGTATGTGTGAAGGCACAGGAATCCAGGGTTACCCTTGCGATGGCTCTGGAGAGGAAGTACGCTCATGTAATGACAAGAAGTGCCCAGGTTCGTGTTCATGATCAAAACACTTTTTTTTCCCTCTTGGCTCCTTCTATTTTTCTTCCCTTCTGATTTTTTCAACTCTGATTTCTTATACAAAGCCATTGGCTCTTAAAGCCAATTATCAGTATGCCTCAAACATGTGTAAAGGTCTATGGCATATGCTCTTCTGAGGTTGAAAGTCAATATATTATGAAGCTTTTGCTGATGTTTTAAAAAATAAGACTTTTATACCCTAATGTGTACCCTATTTGTAAAAAAGTGCCCTTTGCTTTTGTCTCTCTTCTTTTTCCCCCTTTTCCTTTAATCAGTGTGTTTTCCTCTCTCACTCGTTTTCCATATTTAACATTCTCTCTTCTCCTTTGTTTCAATTTCTTCTCTCTTTCTATTAAGACGGGTCATTCTTGACAGAAGGGAATTGTTCAAAGTGCTGCTATGTGTGATTTGTCAGCGTGTCAAGTAGCACAGCAAACAGCAGATTTTAATAAGCATGCCGTTGACTGCAGCTTTGGGAGGCTATAGATTAAATAAATGTCAGACATTGCCGCAGAGCTTATATCGGGCACAGGGCTTTGATGGCACCAGAAACTTGAAGACAAAAATCTGTCCAATAGCTTTGTCGGGGTGTATTATGTTTAGATGAAAAGGGTAGGGTTCTGTTCTCCATCTCTCTCAGCTTTCAAACCAGTCCCCTTCTGTATCTCACCCCTGGGTTGTTCTCTGTTCTGAAGAACCTTTTTGAATGAAAGTTGGAGAGGGATGTGTGTTGTTGTATCTCGCTGTATCTGTCGCTGATCTTCACAGAGTTGCTTTGTGCACTGCAAAAACTCATTTTCTTAATCAGTATTTTTTTGTCCGTGTTTCAGTGAAATATCTAGAGACACAAACCTAACTAAATTTAGATTTAAAACATGAGAAATCTATGTGCCGATGGATAAGAAAAAGAAACTTAATTCAGCATAAGTAAACAAGACTTACACATTTGTGTCCTTTTGTCAGACTTTTTACTGACAAAAGGACACAAATACTGAAGATTGATTGATTGATTGAGGGAAATACAAACCTTTATAGATTTAAGATATGTTTACTGGAACAGGCACAAATACTGATTAAGAAATATATTCATTAATATATGGGAATTCAAAATAGTATACATTTTCTATATGTTATTGGAAAACAAGATCATTTATCTATCTATCTATCTATCTATCTATCTATCTATCTATCT